AAGAAGAGTAGAGGGTTCGTTTGGACCGAGGAATGTCAACGGTCTTTTGAGGGGTTAAAAGCATATCTCCTCTCCCCACTAGTGCTTTCGAAGCCAGAGCCCGGAGAGACCTTATTCCTATACTTAGGAATCTCTCCTCGAGCTGTGAGCTCGGTGCTTGTGAGGGAGGAGGAGGGCGCACAGCGACCTGTGTACTATGTGGCCCGAGTGCTGCGAGGGGCGGAGTTGAGATATACCAACATGGAGAAGACCATCTTTGCGGTAGTGTGTACAGTGAAAAAGCTCACCCCATATTTTCAAGCCCATCCGGTCCATGTGTTATCACAAATTCCCATCGGAACGCTTCTTCGAAGCCCAAATGCCCCGTCACGGGTCAGCAAGTGGGGAGTGTTCCTGGGATCCTTTCAAATAGAGTTCAAGCCGCGACCGGCGATAAAGGGGCAAGCATTAGCAGATTTCGTGGTAGAATGCACTGCGAGGGAGGTAGAATCTAGTGCAGAAGAACCCGAGGGGAATTGGTGGACCGTGTACACCGATGGGTCGTCCGCGACTGATGCTTCGGGGGGAGGTTTCGTGGCGATATCTCCGGAAGGGTTCAAGGCATACTACTCCGTGAGATTCCGGTTTAAAGTCTCAAACAATGAGGCAGAATATGAGGCACTGCTTTGCGGCTTGAGGTTGGCAGCCTCATTAAAAGCTGAGCGAATCCAAGTCCGGTGCGATTCCAAGCTAGTGGTAGGCCACGTCACTGGAGAATTTGAGGCCAAGGATGAACGAATGAAGAAGTATAGAGACACTGCCCTGGAGTTGCTTAAAGCATTCGGGGCGTACCGGATAGAGCAGGTTCCTCGGGAAGAGAACGCTGAAGCAGATATCTTGTCAAAGCTTGGTCCGGATTCCCCGGATCATATTAAGGCAATGACCGAGGAAGAAGAGTTGCTCGAGCCAAGCATCAGTCCCGGACAAGTGCTGATCATCACACTCAAAGAGGAGCTGGATTGGATTGATGAGATTACCATGTACATCCTTGACGGGTCGCTACCTATCGACCCAATCGTGGAAAAGGTGGTGAAGCGACGTGCACCCAGCTACACGCTGGAGTGCGGTCGGCTGTATAAGCGATCGTACAATGGTACATTGTTGAGGTGCTTAAGAGCGGGCGAGGCACAGAAGTTAATGGAGGAAATCCATAAGGGAATATGTTCAGCACATCAGGGAGCCTTCACGATGTCCAGGAAGGTGACCCTACAAGGATACTTTTGGCCAACGATTATCAGAGATTGCGCAGAGTACGTGCGCAAATGCAAGGTTTGCCAGGAATTCCAAAGGATGCCAGGGCGACCGGCGACGAATTATACCCCGATAAGCACAGCGATTCCTTTTGCCCGCTGGGGCATCGATCTGGTCGGTATTTTGCCTCGGGGGACAGGGAACAACACATACCTGGTGGTCGCGATTGACTACTTCACCAAGTGGGTCGAGGCCGTCCCCGTGCCAACCATCACTGCGGAACAGATGACGAAGTTCGTTTCCAAGAAAATCTTGTGCCGATTTGGGGTGCCCCAGCAGATCATCACTGACAACGGAACCCAATTCGAGGCCGGAGGGTTCAATGAGTTTCTACAGAGCTGGGGCATAAAACACAGCTATGCAGCGGTCGGGTACCCCCAAACCAATGGGCAGGTTGAGAACACCAATCATACCATCATGGACGGCCTCAAGAAGAAGATAATGGAATGCAAAAGTGCCTGGGTGGAAGAAGTGCCCTATATTTTCTGGACCTACAGAACTACCCCAAGGAAGGCCACAGGTGAAACTCCTTTCTCGCTCACATATGGATTTGAAGCAAGGGCTCCAGCGGAGACCTCGTTGTTAAGTTATAGAGTAGAGACGTTTGATGCTCAAGGAAATGAGGAGAACCTGAGGGCAGAACTGCACCTCATTGATGAGCGAAGGGAAAGGGCATATATGCGGGCAGAAAACTACCGCCGGCAGGTCAAGTCATATCACGACCAGCGGGTGCGACCAAGGCAGTTCAAGGTGGGCGACTGGGTCCTTCGGAAGAGGGAGGTCAGCCGGCCGACCGATGGAGGGAAGTTTGCTAAAAGCTTCGAGGGGCCATATATCATAAAGGAGGTGTTGGCTGATGGGACATTTAGATTGTAGACTCCAACCGGTGGCGACGTTCCGCGAGTATGGAATGCCGCCAACCTTATCAAATTTTATCAATAGATTGTATTCCAACCATGTCTTTTTCTTGAGATTTAATAAAACCAGCTTTCTGGCACATCTTGTCTCTGATTCTCCAAAAAAAAAGGAAAAAAAAGGGGGGAGCGACCACAAGAGATCGCTAAAATTGCACGGTGATTCGTGCTAAGATACCCAGTAGTGGGTGAAGCGTCGAACCCTTTCAAGCGACCAAGGTTGAAGACGACTCCGTGGCAAGAAAGCCTGAGAGAACGGCTAAGTCTGGAACACAAGATCTGTTGATCGCATGAGCGACCAGGGGATCTTGGGGGTATGGCGACGCCACAAGGGTCAAAGTAACCCGGAAATGGCTAAGTCAAAAGAGGCGAGGTATTCTCTGATTCAAGTCCGAGGAAACCTGAATGTCAAAAGTAGGATGCGAAAGAGAAGAAGGTGAAACTTGTAAGTAAACAGGTAACATCAAAATACATTCACAGAAATGTTCATTACATTTCAAGGATAATCTCTTGCATCTGCTACAGTACAGTTGAGAACAATCTCTACGTAAGGAATGATACTTCCCCATACATCTCTTACAATGAAAAACAACAATCTAAGACTTTGCGAGCGAAGGTCTAGGGGGGACAGGCAGGTTTGAAAGGTAGTTCTGCGGCTGTATAGGCAGGCAAAACTCCGATCACCGGCCGTCCAGGACGACCACCTTTCTTCCCCAACATGGAACGGGAGTGGTCGCCCCCAGCCTCGGCAAAAACCCACCGCCCTTCTCCTACTAAGGAAGGACGGGGGACGGCTCACTTCTCTGTGAACCCCAACCAGCATCACCTAGGCGAGGATGGAGATCCTGAAGCCGCCCGAGCTACTTCAGGTCGCCTAGGGGTCTTCTGGGGAAGTGAATGGCAAGCGGGGCAAGGTAGGGAAGAACCCAGTTCTTCCCCTAACACAACCTCCTCCGTAGGCCTCACCGGCGAACTGGTGCGACTTTTGCTAGTCCATCGCTCAAAACTTGCGTAGTATGCGCACTCATGCTCCAGGAGGGGTAAGTGCTCATCTTGAAAGCTCTCCCAAGCCATACATTGCAGGGAATGGAGGGGGCATGGAGCATCCCAGTCAATCCGCCCGTCAGGCAGGCGGTTGGCGGAGAGGGCCTTGTACGCCTCACTAGAGTCTTCATAAGGGTTTGGAGGTGGTGGCGGCGGTTTCACCGACGGCCACTGCCGGCGAGGCAACCGGAGACAGAATTCGTAAGGGTCAAGCGGGGGGGGGGGGGGGGAGTCATTGGAATTGACTGACTTAGGGGAGGAGTCAGGCTCCGGCGAAGAAGGAGCCGGCCCGTCGGAAAGATCCAGAGAAACAGGAATTCCTTCAGACATGGCAAGAATGGAGAAAAGGAGGATATTTGGTGATGGAGCAGAGTAGAGGCCAGGGGGACTTATAAATAAGCCAGGGCGAAGGAACCGAAGAGACGGTCAAGTCTCGAGGCAGCCGAACCAATAAAGCAGCTTTGAGCCGCGCGAAGGTCCAATCAGAAACGGTGAAGGGCATTGGATCAATTGGGCGGCACGATGGCCAATCCAGAGATTGGGCCCGGACAGGTAAACGGGCCGGGACTAGGAGTTGGGCCCAAACTAAAACATACATGTTAACCAGCTAAATCAAAAAAGAGAGTGCTGAAGTAAAAGCGCCAAAAAGAGAAAGCACGTGGTGAATCTAGAAAATCAAACAACATAGGAGCATTGTATCAAAACGACAAATCATTCCGAAGGAAAAGAGAGAGGCAAGTGTTTGTAAAGCTATGGGGGAACAATGGGGGATTTAGACGGCCGAGCCAGAAGGTCCACCCGCTTTGGACATGGCTAAGCTGGCCCCTGGATTCTTGTCGCTCTGACCACCTTCCACTTCTTCTTCTTCCTCTTCTTCCGACGCACTCGAGCTCCCCCCATCCAGATAGGGACTAGGGTCGAACTCGGCCAAGGAGCGGCAGGGAGGAGGGAAGCCAAGGTCGGGGAGAGAGAATCCTTTGGGGAACTGGGCCAGCCTGTCGCGGAAGACCTGTTGGGCATGGAAGAGTCCGCAATTGAAGGACTTGGTCCCCTCCTGGACCATCCATTGAGCCCCAGGTTCAGTTTTGAGCCAAGCGGCCGTTAGCTCTTCCATCCGCTCCATCGCGACCACCGTGAAGTCAGGAGAGGACTTGAAGGATTCTACCGCTTCCTCTGCATGGCGGACCCGATCGCTCCTCTCCACCTCCAACTGTTGGATCAGATCAGATTTCTCCCCTTCCAGCTCGACCACTCGAGCAGAAACAGATTCTACCTCCAAGGACAAGGAGGCCTTGTCTGCCTCAAGGGCGACGCAGCGGTTCTCCTGGGAAGCTTTCTCCACAGCAAGCGCCGCGCAGCGATTTTCTTTCTCCTCCAACTCCCTTGTGAGTCGAGCGACCTCCTCCTGCAGCTCCCTCTGCTTGGCCTCGGCTGCTTTCATCGCCTCGTCTGCGGCGGCCTGGCGACCCCGTTTCCGGCCGACCACCTCAATCATCCCCAGCGTAGCCTGCGCAAAAGGGTGAGGGTTAGGGGCATAAAAAAAGGAGTGATGCATAGGAGATCAAGACCAGTACCTGACTGAGCCTCAAAAGGACCATGTTGTCAAGGTCGTCCTCGGAGCCTGCTGAGATACGAGCCTGGTCTTCTGCAGGCAGAGTGATCATAGTCTCCAGCTGTACGTCCCCTAGGCTTTGGGGTAGGGGAGGGATGCAGAGCCTCGTCGAGCGACCCCCGGTCGCCACCTCGTAGGTCACTGCGGGTGGTGAGGGAGGTCGCTCCAAGGCAATGCCCTGAAACGACCCAACGAGGTCGCCACCCTGCATCACGGGGTGTGGAGGGGATTGGCCAGCCATGGTACCCGGTTCCTGGGTAGCATCTTCTTGGTCCTCCACCACAATTACGGCCGGCTCTCGAGAAGGACTCTCCTCGTGGTGGGATGAAGAACGCTTGCCCTGGCCCTTCGTCTCTCTCTTCCTCTTCCTCCCTGTAGTGAAGCGACTGAGCAGGAGATCGTTGTCCATCTCCTCTCCTGAATCTTGTAATTCCACTGGAAACAAAGGAAATGGTCAGCCTTGGGAAAAGATAAACTAAACATCTGGGCAAAAGAAAAGGTCACCTACCAAAAAGACCACAGTCAAGACCTTCCTCAGGAATGTCCTTCAGCTGGTCAGGCTGATGCCCCCCGGGGATGTCCCTCAGTAGGTCGGGTTGGTGGCGAAGCTCATCCTGAACAAACTCAAACCCCAACCCGGCAAGGGTTTCCTCTGTCACCACCTCTTTGATGTTCATAACTCCCTTATTGCAGAATTGGCGAGTGAT